TTCTTGGATCAACTATCAACACTCACAGACAGCAGCAGTCAAGAAATCAAAGGACGTATATTGCATTAGGCAAATCTACTGCACAAGACCTTTTTAAAGTGTTGAAGAGCAAAGGTATCAGCTTGAGGACTAAGGTGCGCCTAAACCAAGACATTATACTTTCAATAACCTCATATGCATGTGAAAGCTGGACAGTGAATAAGGAAGACCATAGAAGAATTGATGCTTTTGAGTGATGGTGTTAGAGGGAATACTGAAAGTGCCATGGGCTGCCAAAAGAACCAATAGATCTGTGTTGGAAGAAGTGCAGCCAGCGTGCTCCTTGGATGCCTGGATGTCCACACTTCATCTCTCATACTTGCATACATTGTCAGGAGGGACTAGTAGCTGGAGAGGGGTATCATGTTTGGTAAGATAGAGGGTCAGAGAAAAAGGGGAAGACCCACAACGAGATGGATTGGCAAAGTGGCAGCGTTAATGGGCTCAAGTGTGGCAACAATAGTGAGGTTGGCCCAGGACCTGGCAGTGTTTCGTTCTGTTGTGCATAGGGTCGCTATGAGTCGGTACCGACTCGACTCAATGGCACCTAACAACAACAACATATGCATAGTGCCTGGTGTGGCAATGTGGGTTAATGCACTGAACTGCAAAGTCAGCTTGAACTGCAATGTTGACAGTGCAAGCTTACCAGTCGCTCCTCAGAAACCCTATCATGGTCGCTATGTGTCAGAATTGACTTGAAGGCACTTCACAACAACAACAGCATAGAGAATCTGAATTCTGAGTAAGGAAGTTGAAGAAAAATTGATGCCTTTGAATTATGGTGCTGGCAAAGAATATTGAATGTACCACGGGCTGCCAGGAGAACAAACAGCTCTGCCGTGGTAGAAGTACAGCCAGAGTGCTCCTTAGAAGTGAGGGGCTTGCTGTTGCCTACTTTGGATATGTTATATCAGGAGGTACTAGTCCCTGGAAAAAGATAACCATGCTTAGTAATTAGAGGGTCCGCCAAAAAGAGGAAGACATTCGATGTGATGGATTGACAGAGTGGCTGCAGCAATGGATTCAAGCATAGAAATGATTGTGAGAATGGCGCAGGACCAGGCAGGATTTCGTTCTGATGTGTATAGGGTCCCTATTCCACAGCACCTAAAGACAAAACAACAACAACATTTAGTGAGGCCTAACATCAGCATTCTCACCTGTTGTTGTTGTTGTTGTTCCTAAGTGTCGTTGAGTAGGTTCCAACTCAGATAGACCCTGTATAGGGTTCTAAGAAGCAGCTAGTGGATTTGAACCACCAACTTCCAGTTCAGAGTGACCTTGTGATCCAGTGCTTATCCTACAGTGCCACACCAGGACTCCATTCTCACCTACATGTCATGATAATATGCAATAATAAGTCATTTTAGCTAAGGGTAAATTGGAAATTGGAAAATACGAAATGGTTGACTAGGTTAGCTTGCTTACTTTTCATGTTTTGCAATATACTAAAATCTATATATGCCCAGTTAAATGGACTTTTAAATTGTATTATGTAATTTTTAGCTAGACTAGTAGCACATAGTAGACAAGAGATGGAAAACAGAATCCTGCAAAGAAATCAGATTGAAGTTAATAATAACAGTACAAAGGCAAGCAAGAAAATAGAAGAGCTAACACATCTAGTATGAGTGCTTTTTGTAAGTTATAAAAATTCATGATAAATCGTCTATGCAAATCATATATGACAAGCTCATCCAAAAACATAAGAAATTGTAAAATAAAAAGTTGTTTGAAATGTGACTTTGTAATTTATTCTAAAATATCATTTGATTTAGAGGCCATACTTTTAATTTCATGAGTTTTTGAAATGCACATAATACAAGTAAATATAATTTACAAATAAATATGCATATATTAGAGTTACTATTGAACAAAAAGAGATTTGGATTTAGATAATTTTCCTAATATCCTGAAGAGGGGAATGTCACCTTGCCATCAGAATAACCAGCCTGCCCTGGAGCACAGTATTTAACATCACTCCATTGTTAAAATGGATGAAACGACACAAGTTTATACGAGAGCTGCTATCAAGTACCAGAATTACATCTTAATGTTCAGATCATTATATTGTTACAAATAGCATAATTGGAGTCCTGATGTGGCACTTTAAGATAAGCACTGGACTGTTAACCATAAGGCCAGTGGTTCAAAGCCACCAGTCACTCCTTGGAAACCCTATACAGAGCTGGAACTGATTCCACGGCACTTGAGAACAATAATATAATTAAGCACTAAATCCTGGTGTGGCACTGTGGATTAATGTACTGGACTGCAAAGTCGGTTTGAACTGCAGGGTTGGCAGTTCAACCTCACCAGTGCCTCCTTAGAAACTCTATATAGGGTCGCTATAGGTCGGAACTGACACAATGGCACTTAACAACAACAGCCACAATCACAGCTATACTTAATCACTTAAAGTAGACAATAAATAAGAGAAAAACAAGATTAATAATCAGTTTTTAGGAAAACTGGATTTTGTTTTTTAAATACCTTTGTTGGTCAACCCAAAAGAAATGGTTGTCATTGGGAAAGTTGATACCTAAGTGCTAAATAATTAGCATAAAAATATCATGAAACAAGACATAGCATTTTACAGTGAAACATAATATCACTCAGAAATGTCTTATTGAGACTATAGTTTACTTTTTATGTACTAACCAATCCCCTTATGTCTCATACTATGAAATTTATAAAAAATCTAAATTGCTTGAAAAAAGTACTTTTGTGTATGTCTAGTTTGTTCAATGCTTGAACAAAAATGAGAGACATTTTTCCATACATTTTGCTGAAATATAGGATTGGTTGAAGATGTAAGAGTAAATTGGCAATCAGAAGTTATAAACAGTAGTTGTAACAGCAATAAAAATATGAACAAAGTTTAAATTTAGGAAATGCTTTTGTGTGAAAATGATTGTATTTGATGCTCAAAGATTTTTCATTATAGACCAGAAACTCCCCTGCTTTTTGCTAACTTTACTTCCCTTGCCCTTAAAAACCTTAATAAAAGAAACCGATGATAGTTGTTCATCATTTAAATTTTTTTAATTTTAAAAGAATACAACACACTACTCAGTGAAATAGAGATACGTTTAGTTCATGGTACCTGCATATATAATGAGGCTTCCTATATCTTAATTGAACAAACATTAAAATAATAAGTTCCTACATCTTCTAGGTTTCCACAGACATGCAGCTCCTGTTACCAGAAGGCAGTTTCCACACGGTGCACATAGGATGGATTATCTGCACTTTGAGGATGATAGTCGTGGATGGTGGTTTGACATGGATATGGTGATCATCTATATTTATTCAGTGAACTGGATCATTGGATTCATTGTTTTCTGCTTTCTTTGCTATTTTTTCTTTCCGTTTTAGTAATTTTCAGAATTAATACAGCTGAACAATCATATAAAACATAGACAATGTAAATAACAATTACTTAAGCAATTTTTAAGTGTGGTTTAAAGTTTTTATAATGTTTCCCTGTATAAATTGTTGTTTATCGAAAGCCTGGGAATAATGGACCTATTTATTGATGTTTTCATGTAACAAACTAAACTTTATTCAGTAACTACTCTATCTAATATTTAGCAGCAATTTACTATTAATGTCATCATTTTTGGTGTAGGGCTTAGGGGCTACAATTTTACAATGTTACTTTTATACTTTATTGTAAAGATTGAGGATTTTCCTCCATTAATAAATAGTAAAAATATAAAATGAAGTGACAATCTGAGTAGATAAAATTTTTATGATAAAATATTTCATCAATCACCACCTACTCTCAGGCAAAGAATAAATCATATTCTCGGGGAACAAATCTAGCAGGGTATATTTGGTTTGGTTTTCAAGATTCTCCACTTGTGTCCCCTTTGTTCACCAAGCAAGCTGACTATGTGTTTTGTATATACCTTATAATAGCTTTAGAGAAACATTTTTATTAATAAAAGCAAGAGAACAGCAAATATAAAAAGTAAAAATCTATTAAACTAACCTCCACCAATCGATACCTTAGGGAACTGCACTAACTCTTTCAGAATGTCAAGATTAATCACCTGAAGAAATAAATAATTTCTGATTTACCATAATCTCGAGAAATGCATGTCCAAAGTGTAATTAATTTAATAATTTGTTTAACTAGGAAGTTGTCAAATAAATTGTAAATGTGTAATAAAAAGTGGTTTTTAAAATTTGTTCATTTTATTAAGTGACTTAGTGTTTGAAATAAAGAATGGTTTGAAATATGCTTATAAATGAAGACAAGGGAAACTTGACATTTGTAATTACAGTAATCCTTGGGATGAATGTTTCTGTTACTTAAAAGAAAGGAAGAGGGAAGTTTAATTGCCCCATTGCAAGAAGGACCTAGGGCAGGTATCAGAATTTTAAAAGTGAAAAAATGGAAACGCAGAGCAGTAAACCTACTTAACTGAGTCACTCAGGTGGTATTTATGTAATTTAAGACAAAAGTTTTGATACCAATCCAACATTCCTACAGTATCATGTCATGTAATGCAAAAGGTATATTAAAGTAGGTGAACTGACCATGGCACTGAAAATACCAACACCATTGAAACAAAATGGGATGGATCAGGCTTAACAGATCAGTTTATGAAAAGTCATAATTTGGCCTAATTACTATTAACCATTTCAATAAAAACATGTGATGTTCTAAGAAATAGGCAAAAATGATAATGCTATTTTCCTAATGTGTTTTTTTTATTTTAAATAAGTTTAAAATTATATCTGTGAAAGAAAACAGAAGTGTAGCTCAGACATCATCAAATCCAGAAAGCAGAAAACTACAGTTGAAATTTGTATAAATTTGTATTCATATTTCATAATAAAATATACAAATTGGGCTTGCAATTTGATGATAGAAATCTTAGGGAAACAATGTCATCACTAAAACATTGTATTGCTTTATAGAAATAAAAAATGAATATTTATAATTACTAATTTATTGATCAATGTAATGATAATAATATAAGGGGAAAAAACTCAGCCCTTCTGAAAAAGGAGTCCTGGTATGGCTCATTATTGTTAAATGCTATGGAGTTGGCTCCCACACATGATGACCCTGTCTAGGGTTTCTGAGGAGTCAATTGGGGAGCTTGAAATGCCAACTTTGCAGTTTCAACCAGCCCAGTGCATTAATCCACTATGCCACAAGTTGCAAGATGATGCACTTTGAACCACAAAGTTGGTTTGAACCACAAGGTTGTTGGTACCAAACCCACCAACCACTCCTCAGAAACCTTAGACAGGGTCACTATAAGTCAGAACCAACTTGATGGCACTTAACAATGACAAAAAATATGACTGAAAAATTAACCAAACTATATGGGAATAATTTTTAAGAGCATTAAAATAAATTGCAGCCATACAAGGCAATTCCTGGTTTATAACCTCTCGCAAATATGCCTTGATTCCCTCCTAAATTACTTTAAAATTTTAATTATACATAGCCTACTGCTGCCAACCACCACCCGTCTGTCAGTTTGTCATATTGTGGTGGCTTGTGAGTTGCTGTGATTCTATGCTATGGTATTGGAGGAGAATATTGAAAGTGCCATCATGGGCTGCCAAAAGAACTAATAGATCCATGTTGGAAGAAGTGCAGCCAGAGTGCTCCTCGGAGGCCAGGATGGCCAAGCTTCATCTCTCATACTTCAGACATATTGTCAGGAGGGACTAGTCACTGGAGAAGGATTTCATGTTTAATAAGGTGGAGGGTCAGAGACAAAGAGGAAGACCGCCAGCAAGAAGGATTGGCCAAGTGGTAGCATCAATGGGCTCATGCATGGCAACAACTGTGAGGTTGGCCCAGGACTGGGCAGTGTTTCATTCTGTTGTACATAGGGTTGCTATGATTCGGTACCAACTCGATGGCACCTAACAACAACAGCTGCTGCCAAGTACAAGTCCTAGTGTGGTGCTGTGGGTTAATGTGCTGGACTGCAAGGTCGGTTTGAAATTCAGGGTCAGCGATTCAAGTTCACCTGCCACTCCTGGGAAGTCCTATACAGGGTGGCTACGAGTCAAAACCAACTCGAGAACACTTAACAACAACAACAACTGCTGCCAAGTAGATTGTGACTCATAGTGATCGTAAAGGACAGAGCAGAGCCCATCATAGGATCTCCAGTATAGTAACTCATTATGGGGACGCGCTACCATGTACTTCTCCTATGGAGTGGCTGGTGAGTTTAAATTTCCAACCTTTTGGTTAACAGTCAAGTGTTTAACCACTGTTTCACAAGGGCTCCTTGTTTTATATATATATCCCTTAAATTAGTAACCTCAAAAACAGCAAAGTATGTTCTAGAGGAGCATTCAAATAGATTATATAATGTGACCTATAATTACGCCACTTGGCATACTAAAATCAAAAATAAATAAAATAATTATGAGTTCATTTTACTTGTAAATATTTTTAAGTTCTATACAAATAGTGCTTAAAACTGCTGACTCTTAAGAAGCATAGCATTTTTATGTGAAACCAGAAAACCCTGAGATCTAAAGAAGCCATTTTCTTCTGACATCTAGCACACATTAGCCATTCAGCAAATGACTGTCAAATTTATAAATAAAATACAGGACTAAGAAGAGTAAAGCAAAAACTATTTTTCTCTTTTTTAGTATTTCATAATATCAAGCACATAAAAACTAATTTCCTAAGAACAGAATAAAACAAGAAGAAAAAGCCTACAAAAAAAAATTATATATATATACTAGAACTATCAAGTGTCATATTTACATCCAGTAGTATTATGTAATAGTTTAATTTCCTGAGCTGTCACCATCAATTTCTGTTGCAACTGAGTTTAAGTGTAATTATCATGAGTCTTCATCTTTAATATTTCATACATTCATAAAAATGTGCTTAAATTGAAGCATGTTTCTGACTACTTGCAACAATTAATTTTTTCTTGAATTTAAAAGCAAATTCACAAACCCAAGCCAATCTGTATTCAACAGAAGATAAGGAAGTTAATCTGAATTAGGCAGAATATATGCAATCAGAATTTCTGTTGTACAAATGTTTTTCACTGTGTCACCAAATTCAAGAATGGGAAAAATATATTTCTGTCTGCCTTAGTAAGTGTCACTAGTTTTAAATGCTGGTGTGGCACTGTAAGGCCAACAGTAGACCTCGAACCACAAGGTTGGAAGTCAAAACCATCAGCTGCTCCTCAGAAACCACCAATGATTTCACTTTTGCCTTGGAAGCATTCCATTGTTGTTGATGTTGTTGTTAGGTGCCATCAAGTGGTACCAACTCTTATCAACCCTATATGCACAACAGAACGAAAAACTGCCTGGTTCTGAGCCAACCTCACAACCGTTGCTACGTTTGAGCCCACTGAACTGCCACTGCGCCAATCCATCTCACTGGGTTTTTTTTTCTCTTTTTCTCTGACCCTCCACTTTACCAAACATGCTCCTCATCATGCTTCAATATTCAATAATCTGATGCTGACAGTTTTCCACTGCTATTCATAAGATTTTCAGAGACTAAATTTTCAGAAGTAGTTTGTCACTCCTTCTTCCTAGTCTGTCTTCATCTGGAAGCTCAGCTGAAAACTGTCCACCATGGGTGACCCTGCTGATTTTAAAATACCTGTGGCATAGCTTCCAGAATCATAGCAAATCATAAGCCACAACAGTATGACACACTGACAGAAATTGCATAAATAGGGAACAGAGGATTGTGCACACACTTCCATTCTCTAATCACACCCATCAAGAGGCAGGTAGTGAGCTCCTAAGAGCACATAAAATCATTGATTAGTGCTGTCCAGTCAGTTCCAACTCAGAGCAACTCTGTGTAGGGTTTTCAAGGAACATTTAGTGGATTTGAATAACCAGCCTTATAATTCAAATCAAACTTGTGGTCCAGTAATTATCCTAATGCCTCACCATTAATTAAATATAAAATATAACACCATAATGTCTCAGATATAACAATTTCAGTTCACTTGAGAAAACAAGACAGAGTGACTCAAACAAGTGACCAAGATGCAGAACCAGAAAATACTGAGAAAGAAAAAGCAGTAGAACAGTATATCTGATACAGACATCAAAAGAATGATATTTAGGTACCTTCAAAGAATTGAGAGACACTTCAAGAACTGGCAGATGAAAGCAAAGAGAACCACAGGGGTTTAAAAAAATGATTTGAATAACTCAGGAAGACAATACAAGAACAAGTTAACAAAATAAATTAAAATTTAGACTAAATGGTACAAATTCCGCAAATAGAAATCTGGAAGATTAACGCTAAAATTTCAGAAATGCATAATATATTGGAAAGGCAAAGGAATAAATTTGAATCAATGAAAGGTCTGATTTATGAGTTTGAAGACATCTCT